ATGAAGGAAGTGAGAGTGATTATGAGTATGAGGGAGACACAGATATTGAAAGTGAAGAAGGAGACGACAGTAACGGCGAAATTCGTGAAGAAAACAAAAACACAACGTGTGTGGTGTGTTGACTTGAACAAAGAAGCACAGAGTGTTGTTAATAACTGAGTTGTTGTGTGAACTTTGTTGTGTTTTTAAGTGCATTTTTACCTCTATCAATTATACAAAAGGTATAATTGATATGACTTTTGAAAAGAAATATCCAAACCAATTGATACATCAAAAATTCATTGTCAAAAGTTTAAATATAAATTTCGAGACGAAAAGATCGAAAGCCTCTCCAAAAGCATGAAAGGTCCCGTCGTACCTCACTCGACTCGCGTTATTGAGTATTTAAAAAAAATTCTTTCTATTATTGATATTTTTAAACAACTTGACGAACATTTTAGTAAAACACTTTTTGTCTATTTTCGAGATCAAGTAAGATATTGTTTGGAAATATTACCCGAAAAAACTTATTGTTTTGAAGTCCAAAAAACTTTCAATGACAAATGCTTTATATTTTTTTTGTACGTTTAACACGTTTCCTTGTTTCCCTGTTAATTTTTTTATTTGGCAGTGTTATTTTTTTCTTTTTTTGTTGTTTGGTCTTTTAAAAAAGACTGGTATGCCCGTTTTATTTTTTCTTAACATTTTTCTACACAAGGATATTACTCAAATTAACTAACAAATAAGAACTAGTTTAAATAAGATATTATATCGAAGATATAATTTTAATATTTTTTCGGGATTTACGCAATAGAAACATCAGAAATCCCGAGACATATATTTTCAAGCCGATAAAATTTTTAATATTATAGGGGTGTGATAAACTGGTTGTAAATGATCAATCCCTTGTCGATTTTGGTAGAACTTCCATTCGAACCAAGTGTAAAACATAATTCAATTATTTTTTGTTATTTTGTTTGTTTTAAAAACCCTGGTTCACTTTCATTTTTGCACACTATTTGGAACAGCTTTGAGAATTTAAGACTTGAGTTATTTTTATTTTCATTTTTTACCCAATCAGACTAAAGACATTTTGGAAAGGATTTTCGTTGTTTTTCGTTTTAAAATAAATACAAAATGCGAAATTTTTTCTTTTTTCTTGTCTCGGAGAGGTGTGACAGGTAAAATAAACAGATTTTTAATAAAAAAAAATAATTTGGAGAGGAGAAAAACGACTCGAGTTTTTTTTAGTAAAATAAAAAATAGAAACCATTTCTTCGATATTCAAATGTGTTTTATAAAATCATATTGATGACTTGATACACACTTCACGTGGTGTATATTTCTGTAATATAATTTTGTAAAATTAACGTTATAAAAACAAAATGATTATAGTAGAGAGGAGAAAAATGACTCGGTGTTAAAATAACTTTTGTTCATTTAAAGTAAATTGTGTAATATAGAGATAAACATTTTACCATGCCTGTCATGTTCCTATTATTGAAATTGATTTTAAACATCATGTTATGTTGATAGACTATGTTTGAAAAAGCTGATCCAAATTATTACAAAAAGTTGAATCTATATGTTTAAAAATAAACTAATAACAATAGTTATATTATATATAAACATCATTTAATAATTATTATCAAAAATTCGACATTTGAAGCACAAAAAGATGCCAAAAACACTTTTATCATGAATCGAGCTCTTGTATTCTTGATTGTTTCGATTACGAGTATATTCAATGTTACGTTCTTAAGCGTTATTTAACACAACAAGTATTTTACAATATTTTTACAATAACCAAATAAAACAAAAAAAATACTAAAAAATTACTATTTATTTAAAATTTGGTTTAGTTTTAAATTAAAATAATTATTTAATAAAAATTGTTTATAAAATTAGATAATATAATAAAGTAATTAATTTTTGTAAATATATTTGTGCCATAAACAGTGTTGATATCAACAAAATTAATATCTATAAAATAAACAACAATTTAAATAAGTAAAAAGCCCAATTTTCAACAATATGTAACAAAAAAGACAATTGATAACATTCCTTATATCCTCTGCAACCACTCTTTTTCGTGTGAAAGATTGAAATTGTTTCCTGAGTATCTAAAATATAACAAAAAATGCAAAAAATAAGTGATTTTTGGTGTTGTTTGTTGGTTATTATTTCTTTATAATATTTATATTATTAAAAAATTGAAAATATGAAAATAAAAAGTGGAGAGTGATGGTATGCTTTTTTTTCGCTTTTTGGTTGTTGTTGATAATTTGTTTGAGATATTTCGTGTTTTGAATTATTGAGTTTTGTATAAAATAATGAAAAAAAAAGTATTAATATAACAAGTTTATTTATTTATTGTTTTGTGGTTTTATTCTAACATTTAAATTTAGTAAATTGATAATAAGATTTATTATATTTATAAATCTTTTAGTGTGTTTTTTATTGTTTGCATCGTTACGACAAAGTTAAATCACCAATTTATTTTTAGAATAACATACCAAATTTAAAATATGAATTAAAAACCATTTAAATAATATTATTTATTAATCGCTCTAAATAATAAATCAATAATTGTTCTTTCATTAAAAATTCGTTTGTTTTTAACTATTGGCTATTTTTATATCGAATAGTTTATATTAATTAAATTATAAAAACAAATAATAAAAATTACAAAACAGTTTTATTTTTAGATATATACAATAATTGAAAAGACCTTTATTAAGGTAAAATGTAAAGAATACGATATTTGACTAAAAAACAATTTAAATAAAAATTTATTTTAATGTTTGTTATTAATATTTAAAAACAAAACTATTGATATTATTGAAGGGTTTCAAAAACCTATAAAAAACAATAAATTATAAAGACTGATAATGATGGCGACGATGATGTTGCTGATATGAGGACGGAAAGAAGACGGAGAAGACGAAATAGATAAATTGGAGAATATGCAAATTTAATCAGCTCATCGAACATAATTATGGATCTTGTATTTTAAATGAATATTAGTTCAACTTTCGTTGTTTTCTATTTTAATTTATATGAAAAAGCCTAAAAATAATCAATTTTAAATAGAATATCTAAAAATATAAGTCAAAAACTTACATTTTTTCTTATTCCCAAAAGTCCATTATAGTGTTATCCTTTTTCTTTATACACAAGGAAAAGATGGTAAAAAGATAAAATTGACTTATTTTTGTTTTGGAAATTCTACCAAAATCGACAAGAAATTGATCATTTACAACCAGTTTATCACACCCCTATAGGCGATGTACTTGGAGTATCCAAAACTAATTCACAATCAAGTACATTTCAACCACATCGAATGTCATTGTTATTGAATATATAGATTAATATATTCATTACATATAACAAACATGTTTATTTAGGGACTTACCTTTTACACCCACACCCCGCTATAAATACATATTTTTAATATAAAAATAAAACATTTTTGTATTTTTTGTTTTTTGAGTCTTGAAAAAAATACGGTTTTTCTTTTTCTCGTTTACATCTAAAAAAAGTAAAACAAGTAAAAGTTTTATA